ATGGAACATGATCTTTACTTAATATCCTAATGATTTTTGCCATAAAGAAATCAATAATTTTGACCCATACAATGTATTTTTGGCTATTGCTACCAATATACCCCAGCGACTTAAGACTGGTTTTGTGGTCCAGGGTCACAATTGGTAGTGTTATTTGGTCATATATTTGTCACTGCGGTTGTGCTTTGGTGGTAAAAAAAAATAAAGCATAAGCAACTTTAGGGTTTGTGCAAATCTACCGACACCAGCAGCAGTCCAATGTGTTCATATCAGAGCAGAGGCGATAATGATGACAAGTGTGTGTCAGATCCCAACCCAGAGAAATAATGACAGAAATCTACAGAGGTCCAAATAGCCACCAATCTTTTGGAAACAGAATTCCACACACAGCAGTTTGAATAAAGTGCTAATCTACAACAGCTCTTTACTGGGGTGTCTGAAGATCCCAGACATGTCATCTGTTGGTAAACAGTATTTTCAGATGCACACCTGTTACTGCACATCAATGCAATTTAAATAGTGGCAAGAAAAAGTATGTGAAACCTTTGCAATTGGTTTGGTTTCTGCATTAATTGGTTATAAACTGTCATCTGATCTTCATCAACGTAGCAAGTATTAACAAACACAATATGCTTAAGCTAACAACACACAAGCATTTTATGACCAACTAATGTAGAAAACAATTTTGGGGTCGATAAGATTATTTTTCTTTTTAATTTTGAAAGAAGTCGCATATGCTCATCAGGCCTGCATTTATTTGATAAAAAAATACAGTAAAATCAGTAATCAGTTTCAATTTGAATATATTTTCAAATGTAATTTATTCCTGCAATAGCAAAAGTGAATTTTCAGCATTCCTCCAGTCTTCAGTGTCACATGATCCTTCAGAAATCATTCTAATGAAAACATTATTATCAATGTTGAAAACCGTTGTGCTGCTTCATATTTATTTGTGGAAACTGATAACCCGAACCCAAACATTTAAATGGTGATTTATGCACCATATTAATAACAGTCATTTCAGATTGTCAAGCCCATGTTATTTAAATTGTTTAGCAGGATAACTGTGTGATCATGAGAGTATCATACTTGTGGTGTTTATTGGAATTATTTTAAAAGTTGCTGTAAACTAAAGTCTGTCTGCACTTCTTTCTATTTCTCCTCTTTTGTTCTTTTTCTTCCTCTCCTTCTTTCTCATCCCCATGCCCATATAGCTTGAAAAGGTGGCAAAGGTGTGTGTGTGTGTGTGTGTGTGTGTGAGAGAGAGAGAGAGAGAGAGAGAGAGAGAGACTATTTCAGGAGCCTAAAGGCCTCTGCTAAACTGAGCTCTCAGAGATGGAGAAACAGGAACAAAGAGTTTCCCTGGCTGAGGTCTAGAGGGACATTAAAACACACACACACACACACTTCCAGTGTTTGGCCCTGGAACTGTCAGCGGGGGACAGAGATAACGATGACATCACACACACACAGACCGAATATAGCAGATTAATATATTTGTGTCATACTATTAGTATTAGTATTTTCTTGTGAAAGCAATAATGCTTTATTTATTTATATAACTTATTGAACATAATAACATGATGTAAATATATAATAATAATAATAATAATAATAATAATAATAATCGAGTCCAGTTCAGTGCAATTTGAAGTGATTTGCATGTTTGTAATAGCTATGCAAAAGAATAAAAAATGTATTGAAAGCTCCAGGGTCAGTGAGACCTTTTCACACAGTGATCCTGATATGCTCAATGTGGGTAAATGGCTCGATAAATTACAGTCACACTCTGCAAACATTTATTTATTTATTTATATAACTTATTGAACATAATAACATGATGTAAATATATAATAATAATAATAATAATAATAATAATCGAGTCCAGTTCAGTGCAATTTGAAGTGATTTGCATGTTTGTAATAGCTATGCAAAAGAATAAAAAATGTATTGAAAGCTCCAGGGTCAGTGAGACCTTTTCACACAGTGATCCTGATATGCTCAATGTGGGTAAATGGCTCGATAAATTACAGTCACACTCTGCAAACATTTACTGTAGAATCAATACTGCATTTGGCAGAGATCCCAATGAGTTCAGCTCAGGGGACGAGAGACTAACCAGAGCTACTACATGAGAATTTCTGGAAACAGAACAAATGTGCTTATATGCGATTTCATTCCTCATTTAAAATCAGTCTTGACCTTGAAACATTACAGAAGAGATTTAAATAATGCATTAGTGGATTTGAATCTCACACAGGGTTGAAAGACGTATGATAAAAGGTTTAAAGAGCTTAAGGAACTTCACTATTCTGATTCCAATTCCACAAAATTATTCCAGTTTCTCAACAAATCTATGAACAGCTCTTTTGGTACTATTGAGGAAGCACTCAAAAGAATCTGTCCAAATGATACATCAAAGAAAAACTACTGTATTCTTAGTGGTTTTTTTATTTTTACTTCAGCACCGTTAATTAGAACAAAAACCCTTTTCCAAATAACCTTCTGTTAAAGAACAGCTATTGGAACTATGCATCATAAAATATAAGAGTGGTTCTCAAAACTTCCAACCCTAGAACTTGAACAAATCCTTTTGAGAAACCACTTTACAGCTCAAAAACACTTTTTAATGAATCGTCTTGAAAACCTCCACATCTAGGTTTGAGTCTCACCTTTACTGTGATGGTGAATCCGGATGAGTACAAAGGGTTTTCCCGGTCCAGCTGTCCACTCACTTTCAGGGATCCGCTGATGTAGTCAACAGCAAATACGCTGTTGGTGTTACCTGATGAACAGAATAATAAAAGGAATTTTGAGGCAAAAGGGTCGAAATATGTTTCTGTTTGCACTGAATACTAACATATTAAACGGAAGAGTCTGTACCATCATTACACTTGACTTTTTAGCATTTAGATATTTTAATAATTGGAGGGTCATGATTGTAAAGTGGTTAAATATCTGAGCCCAAACTCAAAGGTTGTAGGTCAAAATCCTCAGAGGCATCAGTGAAGTGGAGAGTCATTGAGTTCCCTATTCACCATTCTGCCCTAGAGCAGGGCACTTAACCTCCGCTCCAGGGGGAACACCCCTATCGTCAGCTAAGGATTTATAAGAATTCATCTGATCATTCCTATCCTAGAAAATTAGGGCTGGATGGCATGACAGCTTATGCCAAAATTTGTACAAATTTGCACATCAATAAGAGGATTCTAGAATTCAGGATTCTAATAACATTATTATAGATCTATCTAACGGTCTGTAAAGCCTGTAAACCTTCAAACGTCAAGGCTTTGCTTTTCTAGACAATTTTTTTAAACATTAATTAATTTCAATGCAATTCTACTTCATTGCATTCCAATTTTGTAGTGCAATCATGCACCCTTTTTCTCATGATCTAAATTGTAATTTAAAGGCATTCTTAATTTAATTCTGAAAACACACACAATCCTCATTATTTAATGTAAGTCAGGCATACGGCACCATACAGAAGTCTGAGAGAGAAGATTGAGTTATGACATTATAATTGAACATTATGAGGTCAAACAATTAATATATATGAAAAAATAATATTATAAAAAATATATTATGAATTGTTCAGAATAAGATCTATAACATGCATTTACAAAACAGAAAGAGTCCGTTTTCATTTCATGCCGACTTTAATTGGCGCAACGCAAGTGTTTTTTGCTAGTTTCAGCCCAACGCAGTTGTCATTTTCACGTCCTGTGCCGCGTTGTTTAAATAGCAAATGCATTTGCGCCCATTTGTGCGCCCATGGGCATGCTGGTCTGAAAACAACGTGTGTTCAGGCACATTGCTGGCATGTTGCTATTTTGAGGAACTGAAAATAGACTGTGCCATTGACCAACAAAAACCTGGTCTAAAGTCAATGGCTCAGTAGTTTTTTTGTTATTTAAAGAGTGCGTTAATATAGGCGGGTCCACAGCGCGCGTACACTCTTACTACAAGCAGCAGCACACAAACATGCCAAATATAAAAAATTAAAGGATTGCAATGTAAAAGATTACTATTGTGTAGGCCACATAAATATAAAAATGCCTACATGTCATAATGGATAGTCATTGCATGTATCCAGGGGTGTGAAGTAACGAATTACAAATACTCACGTTACAGTAATTAAGTAGTTTTTATCAGTAATTGTACTTTTTTGAGTAGTTAAAAAATTGTGTACCACCTGCGCCGTGCGCTTTAGACTTTGCTCTTAGATCCTTAAAATAGGGCCCTGTGTGTGTTTTACATCAAAATGTGCCCACAACTACTGTATTTTGGAAGAACATTTTTCTACAAGCTCCAACATGATGAATTTAACTTCTGAAACATCATGGTCATCAAGACTCTTCTAATTATACTAGGTGTGTTACTAAATCATACTTCAACGCTTAGGTCAACAAAATGCTAGACATAGACAAAGAGTAAGAAACAGAAACAAAATCCTTCCTCTTCTGTACTGTCTGACAGAGAGCAGACGTGTGGTTTGGGACTGGACCTCTCCCTGGTCTGGGATAGAGGAAAGTAATATCTTCAGACTAAGGGAACCTGTTAATTAATCCGTTACTCCTGAGATATCATGCTGGTTTTGGGTAATTAGTTCAGTGCTTGGCAGCAGCGGCCCAAACTTTAGGGCTATAACAGAACACTAGACCGGCTCGCCATATAATCCACCATTCTTTTCTAATTCATCTTCCACTCAAAACATTTTATACTCCCTCGGTAAACTGTTCATCTAATTAACACCTCACTTTCCTTAATTACATGATATCTCAGTAATTATTTTCATTATATTTTCATGTCTCTCTGTCCATCTCTCACAGCTGCAGTGTATATTCTCTGCAAACTAATTAAGTCCATCAGATGCAGATGGCACACAGAGTGACACACAATCTGTCTTCTCCACTAGCAGTCTTCTTTTGTTCTAAATGATAGATCTAACCTCTGTACAGCTCTCATCACGTACAATCATGTACTACTAAAGATCATCAGCCCCCCCTCCACCTTTCCTCCACCTCCATGTTGCTCCCTGCCTCCACCTCCCCTTTAGGAAAAATCATACAACTGTAATTATTAACTAAAACAAAGCTGGTCAAGACAATCTTTGAATGCTGAATTGACAAAGTCTTATTTGAAAGCTAAAAAAAAATGTTGCTTTAAGATACAACTTTATATTTATTTATAGGCATTACAGACCATAAGATAGATAGACAGACAGACAGACAGACAGACAGATAGACAGATAGATAGATAGATAGATAGATAGATAGATAGATAGATAGATAGATAGATAGACAGATAGCTCTATTCCACCCCATCATTAAGTTTCTTCACCTCCTTCTTCCCAGGTACTCAAACTTTTATTCTTCCTCGTTCTTCTCATCTCAGGTGTTCACTATTGTTATGCTAAACTGGACATAGCCACAGCACTGCAGCATTGACACTGGATTGAGACGGAGCTTGTTGAGCATGCATGAGCGACTCAGAGCTGCCCTGCAGAGATAGCTGTGATTTATACATTCAAATAGCAATCTGAACCATCGGCGTAATGGAAATCAAACAATGGGAGTACCCAGCTTGATTGAGAGTGCTTGGACCGAGTGTATGCATGCGCCTCTGCTAGCGTGAATATATTGGCTCCTCTGGGCATCGACGGCCAATTAGAACACACACTTTAATTCACTTTCCCAATTGACCAGTGAGAAATCAAACGTGCAGCTCAGAGCCACGCTGACCTCATGGATTCATTCCAATTAGAATGTGGCTGTTCACTGGAGTAAGACCACTGAAGAGCATGCTGATTTGGAATGATAATCATTCTTATCTGGTAATGCAAATATATTTCTTAAGGTGTGGTGCAGACGCGGACTCATTTCTGAGGGGGTTGTGAGGACACACTAATTATAAACTTAGCATGAAGAGAGATTTTATGGATTTTAAATATATTTTCATCATATATCGATGAACTGTCTAAAAGTCGCATGAAATTTAAATTTAAAAAATGTAATTTCTGTCATTATTTATCATAAAATCGCTCCCAATCAGGGTTTTTATCGTTAACAAACCAAAACTAAAACCATAAAAAATTTCATTACTAAAATACATTTCATTTCATTATTAAAATAAATATTAACATAAAATATTAATTCAAATGAAAATAGAATATAAAATTAAAATTAATTGAAAATATTAACAAAAACTATACTATTATGTCAATGATACTAATATAAGACTGTTACAAACACTTTTCATTACAAGTTTTGAGAAAATTTAAATTAATAAATAAATACTTTTTTTTTTTTGAGAGTGACATGAAGCAATCGCTTTTCATGGAAAAAAACTGAATTGACATAAGGGTGAGAAAATAATGACAGAATTTTCCTCAATGAATAAACTACTCCTTCAACTAGAGGCAACAAAGCACAGGTTAATAATTTAGTAACTGTACACGGAGTCAGCAGACGAGAGCTGAGATTTAGAGGCAGTAACATTAGCATGAGATAAGCAGACTCTTCAGAAGACCAGAATGATGCCGCATTCTGCCTGACAGAACAAAAACTCTCCCCCACAGAGATTGACATCTCATCAACACACAAATTGACAGCAGAGAGAATTCACTGTTGGAGAAATCAAGCTCAGCTGAAGTTGATGGAGAGAATAAGAGGCGAGTGTGAGTGAGTGGAGCTGTGCAGGAGTGCAGATAGCTCACTCACTCTAATCCTGCTGAGAGCCAGCAGCCAAGAGAGCTTAAGACAAGCACACCAACACACCACAGCAAAGAGAGTAAGCTGCCGGGAAATTACAGTGCTGGGGAAACCCTTTCATAATGCCCTTTAATGGAATTTAATTATTGTCTAATAGATGAGCTAAAAGGATTTGTTAACAATTTTCACCTCAGCTCAACAAGAGCAATATAATATTTTTATTATTATTATAAATAATAATAATAATAATAATAATAATAATACTTTTAAAACAATAATATTATACACTACTGTTTAAAAGTTCGGGGTTTGGGGATTTTTTTAATTAATAGTTTTATTCAGCAATAATGCATTAAATTGATCAAAAAGTACAGTAAATACATTTATAATGTTACAAAAGATTTCCATTTTAAATAAACGTTCTTTTAAACTTTCTATTCATCATAGAATCCTGAAAAAAGCATCATTATTTCCACAAAAATAGTAAGCAGCACTATCGTTTTCAACATTTATAATATTAAGAAATGTTTCTTGAGCACCTAAATATTTCCTAAATATTTAGCTTTGCCATCACAGGGAAAATGTAAAATATATTAAAATTAAAGTTAATTATTTTAAATTGTAATAATATTTCACATTAATTACTGTTTTTACTGTATTTGTGAGCAAATAAATTTAGCCTTTGTAAGCACAAGGAGTTTTCTTTTAAAAAACATTACAAAAATCTTACTACTTCTTCTTAATAATAATAATAATAACAATAATAAATAGTGAAAAACAACAGCAGCAACAACAATAATAATAATTATTATTATTATTGTTTTGTTTTTGCAGCTGTTTTTTTTTTATTATTGAAAGTAACTCAAACAAACACTGTTTATAATTCAAGGCTAAATTATTAAGTCAACATAAAATCAATATTAGCTCTGTTTTTAATACTAATTACACAACATTAAACATGGTTTTACCTGCAGCAAGGATAATAAAATGTTGTTGAATGCATAAAACCCATCAAAATTCCATAGACCAAAATTGTCAGTTTTCCTATTTAGCCTATGCTATGTTAATAATT